CGCCGCCTACGACAGCATGACGAGATGGAGCAGCAGCCGCCAACTGCAGGTGGAGATGGACCTGGACGTGCTTCCGCTTCTGTTGCTGCCTCGTCTGCATCCAAGCGCCGGCTCCAACTAGAGCCGCCACAGCTGGTCGTGGTGCGCAGCGTCACCATTCTTCCTCCAAACCCAACAACAGGTATATCAATAACGGATTCACATATTCATCAATTGGAGTAGATTTAATTCTCTTGTGAGAACACATTGGTTGTTAATTTGATTCGATTGGTTTAACTGATGCGATTCAGTACATCACATAGACCAGATCTGCTCTCCGTCACTATTGACTAATGAGCCATCATGCTCTTGTTAATTTTACTGATCTAGTACTTATGCTCTAAGAATTTTTTGCTGATGATATAGTAAATACATTACTGATGTGATTCATTGAACTGTGATATTAAATAATTTTAATATCACTGATGCGATTCAGTGAACTGTGATATTAAATAATTTTAAATTATTTACTGATCAGTTAATTTTACTAGATCTAGTACTTCACTGATGCTCTAAGTTAAATTATAGATATTAGCATTGCTCTTGTTACTAGATCATCATGCGTTAAATTATAGATATTAGCATTGCTCTTGTTACTTCAGTTCACTGATGTATATTTTTTATTTTTCTCTTGGTAGGATCTAAGAGGTCAAGTTTAACAAATGGAAGCCCTGGTCAAATTCAAGGTCTTGGTTTGTGTTTGTCTAGTGCAACTCCTTCATCTAGCCCAGCAACAGCAACCGATGCATCTTCTTTGCCAAGTGGAGGTGTGAGTGGAGTTGCTGTTGTAGGTTCTGGTTCTAGTGGCCACAATGTTGATGCTGCTGCTACTGGTGCTAACTATCCTGGTGGACAAGAAGGAGCAAATACTGCAAATGCCACCGTTGTTGAAGGTGATGAGGCGCCAAGTGGAGATGAATATGAACCAGATGGAAAGAGGCAAAAGAGTTGCACATCTGGTGTATGGAAGTACTTTACCAAAAAGAAGCTTGTCATTGAGGATAATGGGAAGGTTTATATTCAGAAGTGGGCTCATTGCAATTATCCAAAGTGCAAGCACAAGGCCAGATGTGAGGGAAATTATGGGACAACAGGTTTCTGGACACATTTGAGGGTAGCACACAGTGTACAGAAGGGCCAGCAGCAATTAAAGGTGGAAAAAGATGGTGCACAAGAAATCAAAGCTGTTGTAACATACAGGTATGATGAAGAGGCCAGCTTGAGAAAGTTTTACTTGGCAATAGTCATGCATGAGTATCCATTCAATATATCTGAGCACGAGTATTTTGTTGATTTCATCAAATCACTACGACCTAGCTTTCCAATCAAATCTAGAGTTACCATTAGGAAAGAAATTATGAACATGTTCTTAGAGGAAAAGGAGAAGTTATATGCTTATTTCAAATCTGTTCCTTGCCGGCTCAGTGCCACCATGGACATGTGGACTTCAAATCAGAACAAATCATACATGTGTGTCACCGTTCATTGGATAGATGAAAATTGGTGTATTCAGAAAAGGATTGTGAACTTTGTGCATGTAGAGGGCCGTCATACTGGTGCCAAGTTGTCAGAGACATTTACTGAACTCATGGTTAAGTGGAATATTGACAAGAAATTGTTTGTCCTGACCTTGGACAATGCATCAGCAAATGAAGTTGCAGTCAAAGACATCATATCTGATCTGAGGCCTAATTCTAGTGCTTCAACTTTGGTATGTGATGGCCTATTCTTTCATGTGAGGTGTGCTTGTCACATACTAAAACTAGTTGCTGGCAGATCTTACATTTTTGTAGACTCCACCTTCGCTGTTAGGCTCATATGAAGAAGGTGGCTCTTAGTAAGGCGAACGACGGGACTTGTGAGCTCCGAAAAGCTGAGTTTTTCGGTTCGCTCCTGGTCGCGTAGCAAACACTATGAGCGTGTCCACCAGATGCGCCGTACGATAAGGGAGCTTACTTATCGAGAAGCTACCGTACGCGATACACATTTATTGTGGAAATGACTAAGAAATGCCAGGATGGCTTAGTAAGCAAGCAATCTGTTATGTAGGCTTTTGAGTGTAATCACACCCACAATTGAGAATATTAGAAAACTTGTTCTTGCTGTTAAAGGATCTCCCTTGCAATGGGAAGAACTGATGAAGCGTGCAACTGAGTGTGGACTGGATACAAACAAGGGCCTGTCACTTGATGTATCAACAAGATGGAATTCAACATATTTGATGCTCTGAGATGCCTTGTACTATAAGAATGCATTCATGAGGTTGAAATCATCAGATCACCGTAGGTATGAAAACATTACTCCATCTCCTAGTGAATGGGCTATGGCATTCAAACTTTTCCAATGCTTGAAGAAATTCTTTGATCTCACTGAACTATTTTCTGGTACTCTATACCCCACTGCAAATCTGTTCTATAGAGGGTTTTGTGAGATAAAGATTTTGCTAGATGAATGGTCCGTTAGTCAAGATAACACTATTTGTACAATGGCTACTTCTATGAGTAGGAAGTTTGAAAAATATTGGAAGAAGTCATCCACGACACTTGTTGTTGCTTGTTTCCTAGATCCTAGGTATAAGAAAAGGCTTATAGAGTTCTACATGAGAAAATTCCATGGAAATGCATCTCATGTTCATGTTGATGAACTTGTTGATGTCATCAAGAAACTGTACCAGTTCTACTTCTATGTTCATGACACACCCATGTCTTCGAGGCATAAAGGCAAATCAAATGCACCTAGTGATATGGAGATTGATACAACGGACCTTTTAGTGGATAATGGAGATGATGAACTAGAGAGCTACCTGTATGAGTCTAGTGGGCCGAATGGTGCTGAAATGAATGAGTTTGATAAGTATATGGCAGATCCACCTCTCCGGCTTAGTGGTCAGTTTGATGTCTTGGCATGGTGGAAGAACCAGACTGATGAGTATCCTGTTCTTTCAAGAATAGCTCATGATTTGCTGGGTGTACAAGTCTCTACTGTCGCTTCTAAAGCAGCTTTTAGTGCTGGTGGACGTGTAGTTGATCCTTTCCGTAGCCGCCTTGAACCTGAAATTGTTGAAGCTTTGATATGCTTGAAAGATTGGATTGCTGCAGGAAGAAGAGGTTAGTTACAATACAACATTTCATGAGTTTGTTGTACAACATCTCCTAATCATATTTGCTGATTTTGTCTTGTTTGATTGTTTGATTTTCAGAAAAGTTGTACATCTCCTAATCATATTTGCTGATTTTGTCTTGTTTGATTGTTTAATTTTCAGAAAAGAAGGTTGGTTCCATTGTTTGTGATCTTGAAGTTATTGAGGCCCTTGTAGAAAAGTTGACTATTGAGGTAACATAATTTTGTGCTTCTCAAAATTCGATTTACAATCCTGTTGCCTGTTGGTCTACTTTTTGTGAACATGATAGGATAGGATAGCCATAAGTGAGAGTAGTCAGTAGCATTGTCTTAGGTTGATCACAAATTTTGATATTGCAGTTGGTCTGATGATTCCTCTTGTATTGTAGGACGATGATGTTGCGGACAGTGATGGAGAAATGGATGCGCATGGGTCATGGTCAGCTGCAAATGAGCATGATTTCTATGGCATTTAAGTTGTGGTCTGCTGGTCTGTTTATGTTTGGAGTTTACCCCTGTTGGACTATTTACTTCAAAACTTGTGGTATGTTGCCGTGTTGGCTGTTGTAGTGCTGTGTGAGTCTGTGACTCAATGACTGTCTAATGTCTTGTATTAATATTAATACTTATGTACTTGGGAGTTGAGACTTGGGCTATTGATGTTGCTAATGTTAGAACTTGGTGTTCGCTTATGCATAGCTGGACATTTCTTTTCG